GACAGAAAGAGACATATTGTTGAGTGGAGCACGTGAGGCGTTCGTTGTGAATTATAGCGTTTGTTATAGCGTGACTGTGAAAATTAAGTGTATTGCAAAGTTGTATTCAGAAAGAATAAACCTGTTTTATTTAAGAAAGGACTTATATCGGTAAAGTTTCTTCGGAAAGAATTTTTACGGAAAATTAACTAACTAACGGAGGCGTAACAATATTTTTTAAATAATACACTAACTTTATTTACAAAGTGATTAAACAAAAATATAATCCCAACTATAACTTATATACAAAAAAACAACAACAAAATGCCTACATTACAAATTAAAAACTAAGTGTTAACTATCACAATATCAGTGTTACATTAACTTGTAGTTGTACAACAATACAAATTATAATTTACAAAGCACACCATGGACGGATATGGGCCTACACTTTTTTCACAGTTTAAATACACCACAAAGGGAAAAATAACTTACTTACAGTAAAAACAAGATGTAGAACTGTTAACAATTATCCTCAAAACCTTTGTACTTCTTATATTCTTATAGCATGTGTACGTAATATGCGATTATGTTGCTATGCTACTAAAATGAGCTGAAGCGTATAATAGTAGTGCCATCTATTAAAACCATGTTAAAATATCAATTCAGATTTATTTTATTTTTTCCTAACAAAATGGAGCAGTCTTACAAAAGTGGGCATAAATCATATAAAGTTTGGATAACACAATACAGTTATTTCAAAAATGTTTCATGGAATTATATTATTCAAAAACAAGGTAAATCCGAAATAATATAAAATAGATGTGCATAAGATTTGGATTATTTGGTGAGTTTTCAAAGAATAAACAACAGATGATTTTTAATTATGATAAATGCAAGATAATGTATTTGGGACATCACAATTTGAATTATGAGAATAATTTAGATGGGAATAACCTTAACAGTGTTATGGAGTTCTGGTTGATCAGTCTCTTAAACCATCCAAACAGCTGTAGAACAAATAAAATTTTAGGTCGTATCTATAGAAATATTGAATACAAGTCTGCAAAGGATATAATGCCATTGTATAAGCTAATGGTTAGGCCCATTTGAGTACTATGATCATTTTGAACTTCTGACCAATGGCATGGTATCCAGCTAGGAAGTATTTGTCGCCAACGGGACTGCTCTCGATTGAAAAGAGGGATTGACTGTTAGTTACAACGTTCCCCACAGCTGAAAATACGGAGCGTGTTGAGCAAAATATCGAGGTTTGAATGTTGGATTTTCCGATCGGCAGTACGCCACGCTCGGCTCTCTCACAAAATAAGAGATCAATCAAAAATAGAAACATTAAAGGATGCGAAAAAACATTTAAATCTAATGTAATACCATCCCCAAAGATATTCAGAAAGTACCTTAAAATTTGAGTTCGTACACCCCGAGAGACTAAAAGCAACCAACATTCTCTAAGGTAGTAGGCTGAAGCTTTGTAGGGTGTTGGTCAACCTCTTAGTGTGTGTGCATTCGGTCACCAGGGGTCAATAAAGGTAATCATGTACAGTTTTTACCAAGTTGTTTTTTCAATTTATTTCGAAATACACAATGCTGATTTTTCATATATCAATGCACTTTAATATAAAGTAGACCTTTAATGAAACATTAGCTATAATGATATTAAAATTACACATAAAAGTACATTTTAACATTTTATCTGCAGAAATTTCATTTACCATCATTTCAAAAAAGTGAGATTTTACATTTGAAAGCTCTTATAATATAAAATATGCCTAGCATAGTAAACTATATTGTTTAGAATATTAACTAACTTCTAATATGATTAGAAAATTAATACCAAAGGTCATTAAGTACATTTATTTGTTGTTTTTGAAATTCGCGCAAAGCTACACGATGGCTATCTGCGCTAGCCGTCCCTAATTTAGCAGTGAAAAACTTGAGGAAAGGCAGCTAGTCATCCCCACCCGCCGCCAAATCTTGGGTTACTCTTTTACCAGCAAATAATGGGATTGACCGTCACATTATAACGCCCCCACGGCTGAAAGGGTCAGCATATGTTGTAGTAGTCATTTAGTACATAATATGATTATAAGCCCAGTAAAAAAAAACAAATAACGTGAAGCATCAACTTGCATAAATCATTGTCAATATATTGTCATTCATTATGTGCTAACTTATGGCTTTACCTTCCCTTAACTATTGGCACGACTCATCATTAGATATTTCTAGTTACATGACTTAGAGGATGGTTAAAATTGTCACCATACCAACTGCAAGATGAAATACATCCAACAGAAATTACTCTACAGGTATAGATTCTGCACTCGCACTGTTTGAAGTTCAGAGCATGCTTCTGACACTTGGTCTTTTCTTGTCCAAACTGGTTGAAGATGTCTCCTGCACCATATTTTTCCATCTAAGGCAGAGCACAAAATTCTGGCACTGGTCAGCATTTGCCCATGCTTTCACTTTTGCTTTGCAGTAGATGCCTTCATCGACCGTCACAACAGTGTTTTGTTGGCCAAGATCGAATGAGATTTTCTAATATTGACATATAATGGTTCACATTGTGTCCTACTCTGGAATGATTGGCATACAGTTACTGGTGACACTTTAGCAATCTTATGGTTGAATACTGTCCATCCTGGAACAACTTGCTCATTACCACTTGCAGAATAGTATCTGCCTGTTAGCAAAACGAGATATTTTGAATCCAGGGGTGCAGAATCATTTGGGATAAAGTGATTTGCATTAGGCATGTCATCATACTTCTGTTGTACCGTGAAAACTGCAATTTGATAAGTTCATCTTAGATGGAAGTCAACACTCGTGAGTGGCCTAAGACTAAGTCTTGGTAGACAATGTTAGTTGCAGGACACCTGTGAAATGCTACCATTTGTGTACTAAGAAATGTTCCTTTTACGTTAATGGTATCTTCAAGGATGCTAATGTTATCTTCAACAAATTGCAAAGTTTCTTCCAGGAACTAGGATCTCTGGAATGAAGGTATACACAATGATGATAAACATACCTACCTGACGATTAGCAATGGATGTTTCTATACACTGTACCTACTTTTATTTAAAAGTTATACAAGAGATTTTGATCAAGTTTACTGATGCACTATTAGACCAAGACCAATGTCGATGCAGCAAATATAATATATTGTGCTATACTCAACACTCTAGTGGTTTCATTTTTGATTGCCTCCACTTTGTTTCTATCAACACCTGTTAGAATCAGTTGAAGAAGCAGATATTGACTATTAAGAATAACTCCTCTGGTATGATTTTCATCAAGTCCTTCATAACTTTGATGTACTGGGGTGTTACATTTGTGTCTGATTTGACATTTGTGACCAAAAGATTAACTGCTTTCAAAAACATTTCTTCACTATCTGGCATCCCTGATGCTACCACCTATCTTTCCATACATATGTCTTCCAAGTTTCTGCTGGCCTTCTCAGCTGCTAAAACAGCAGTTTCAGCAAAGACAGTTGAAGACACTAGAAGAGACTGAGTTTGTACAAGTGGGCAAACATAAATTCTAGTTTCTTAATGATCTGTCAGCCTTTCTTTCAGTTTCTGTGGAAAGTAGTTGCTTTCACATCCTTCCAAAAACAGAAGATGCTGATAGCATATTGTGACTTGAAGATTGTAAATATGTCCCATCTTCAACTCTTCATCAAGGTCTACAACTTGAACATTCCCCATCACGATGGTAATTTCCAGACCATTTTAATAAACATTTTGAGTGGTACTTTATATGCTATTAGGTCAAGAGCTGCAATTTTCCAGTTGAGATTCACGTCTTGTTTAGTAATGTCATGAGCTTAATTAGCACAGTTTTCAGCGACCACTTGATGCAAAGTGTCATGTTGTATTTTGTTGGGCAAAACATACTAGATTCCACTTAACATCCGGAACAACCGCACTGCAACATGTTCCAATGTTTTACTGTCACCTCCCTTGCTCTAACTACACCTGTTGTAATAAAAATATATGTAATAGTTAAAACACCTCTGCCTTTCAAAATCTTTGCCTTTCTGTTTCAAATGCTATCATCCTAGTGAGATGCACTTAGTTGTATCTATGTGATAGGAATCTCTGTAACATAACTGTTTTCATCTTTTAACATGAGCCAACTCCTGAAATTCATAACATATATATATAAAATGGTGAATTCAAGATTTTCAAAGAAATATAGATTGAATTCCTTTTGACAAAATTTTGGAGGCGAAAAAATAAATTTATAACAAAAAAGTTTAAAGTCTGTGCTAAAATGATTCAAACGTACGTAATGACCTCATCACGACTAAATTCAGGCCAGGAGAAAGTAACCAACTCCCTGGAAATAATCAAGAACATATAGATAATTTATTTAACACATTGGTTGCTTTTACTCTCTTGGGTTTAACGAATGTTGTAACTTCTGGTCTTTACCTCCAGACTATTTTCAGCATGAGCTACAGTTTACCATTTGTCATTTTGTTTTGGTAGAATGATTTGTTTTGTAGTTAAGCACAAAGCTGCTCACCACCCGGTTTTTAGCACTGTAAGTCTGCAGACTTACCACTGGGGGGAGGGGAGACATACTTTGGTAGAAATTTCATTAGTTAAATTATGTGTCCATGCAATTATAATCCCACAAATCATGTGTTCTTGTCATAATAAGGTCTCCATTGTAAGTATCTACTAATAAAATAAAAGACATTTGCCTTATTTAAGTATAGAAGTTTATAATCATTTGATATTATTTATTTTAAAAGCTTGTTTTTCTAAAACCTTTCATATTATTTCTGCCTGGATAACCAATCAAACCATTTTATCACTTCACTCAAAAATATTATCATTTTACACTAAACAACATGATTGGATAATGATTATAAATTCTCTATTTATATATGCCCCAATAATTTCTGGAGATCGGTTGTATGCAAAAAATCCACGAGATAACAAGCTGAAGTCTGAAAATGTCAAAGGAATAACAGACACAAACAAATGTTTTGCTTTCTGGAGACATAAGTTTATTTATTCAAACCAATGTGTAAATTCTTTTTTTTTCTTTCTTGCAATCCTACATACGATGGGTTCCAACAGTCACTTTAGTAGGTCCGTATAAATTAAAAATTATTTGTTTACAGGAAACCAGCAAGGATATACCAGTAAAGATAAGGTTCAAAAATGGAAACATAAATGAAAAAAGATTTCCTTAGCCTTAACTGTCTGGCTAAGATACACTAAGGTATTAATAATGATCACAATAGTCACATGCTTAACTTCAAGCTCAAAAAAAGCTTCACACTTTTACTTTATTACGAAAACTAAAACATGTTGTTGTCATGGCAACAGTTTATCTAAAACATCGATTAATTCGAACACCTATAATATTTTCTATAAGAGAACTACTTAATTCACTCCAGAACCTAATCAACAAGGAATGTAACATCATTTTCTATGCTCAGCTAGAGATCAAACACATTGGAAATCTTAAAACAGAATTTAGCAACAATGCATAATATTAAACCTTCCTTAACTTACTTTACTCCAAATATATAATTATTTTGTTGCTGTAATTTTGAACAAATAAAAAAACAAGGTAGATCGTTCTTGACCACAACAATGTAATTTTTCTCAACCTTTTACGATTTTTAATATTGACTTCTACTAGTCCCCTAATGAGTATCCTCTCAGATGTATGGTAGTGAGCTTAGATATCACTATATTTTTTCTTACTGTCTTGATTACGTTCTTCTTTAGAGAAGAAATTACAATTCTTGAAAGTACTGAATATCTGACTGGAATACATGATTAAAGTTTCCAATTTTTTATTTGGGGTGTGTGTATCACTGGGAATTTTCTTAGAAATATTTGATGCTATTATCTAATATTTTTGAATACAAACTCATTAATATTGCTGTGGATCATAAATGCTCTTCTTCCTTTAAAACTGCAAGCTGATGTATTTGTTGTAAAATTGTGTGTGTATCATACGGTAACTTTTCAAGTTGATGTATGTCAGTCATTAGCACTGCACCAAATTAAAAACGAGCAAGAATACAAGTGTGTTCTCATTCTATTTAGTACTGCAGGCCTTTCCAAGTATAAGGAAATTTACACAATATTTTTTTTAGGTATGTGTTAGGGTTGTTGAAATTTTGTATTTAGTCTCTAGTAGGTTGGCATGTGATAAAATCTTTGAATAAATTTAGTGATTTAAAGCAAAATTTACATATCAAATACTAAGAAACTAATTCTTAGCTCATACCAGCCTCCTGCTGCTGGATTATTACAACTCTACCAAGCAAAGCAAGAAACTGACTTTAGATTAAGAGTAAAAAACAAAAGCAATGTTTATTGGCACAATGAAAGATAAAATATTTATTACTTATTTCAGCTCACTAGTTTTGGTAACACAGTTACCATCATCGGGGTTTGTGAATACAGTATTAGCATAGCCTATATTAAATTTCCAACTGTTAATGGAGTTGGAGTGTAATATAGGCTAGCTTACACTGTTTTCATATCCATTAACAGTTGGAGTGTAATATAGGCTAGCTAACACTGTTTTCATATCCATTAACAGTTGGAGTGTAATATAGGCTAGCTAACACTGTTTTCATATCCATTAACAGTTGGAGTGTAATATAGGCTAGCTAACACTGTTTTCATATCCATTAACAGTTGGAGTGTAATATAGGCTAGCTAACACTGTTTTCATATCCATTAACAGTTGGAGTGTAATACAGGCTAGCTAACAGTTTTCATATCCATTAACAGTTGGAGTGTAATATAGGCTAGCTAACATTGTTTTCATCTCCATTAACAGTTGGAGTGTAATATAGGCTAGCTAACACTGTTTTCATATCCATTAACAGTTGGAGTGTAATATAGACTAGCTAACACTGTTTTCATATCCATTAACAGTTGGAGTGTAATATAGGCTAGCTGACACTGTTTTCATATCCATTAACAGTTGGAGTGTAATATAGGCTAGCTAACATTGTTTTCACCTCCATTAACAGTTGGAGTGTAATATAGGCTAGCTAACACTGTTTTCATATCCATTAACAGCTGGAGTGTAATATAGGCTAGCTAACAGTTTTCATATCCATTAACAGTTGGAGTGTAATATAGGCTAGCTAACACTGCTTTCATCTCCATTAACAGTTGGAGTGTAACATAGGCTAGCTAACATTGTTTCACAAGCCATGACGATGGTAAATGTGTTACCGAAACCAGTTGGCTGAAACAACTAATAATGTATTATCTTTCGTTGTAACAAATAAAATTATGCTTTTGTTTTTATTCTTAATATAAAGTAGAATAACGCGCCTGGAAGGATGTTAAAATTAACTTTATAAATTTTGTATAAAAATAACCTGAAAACATATGATCAAATTCTTCCCACAAATGGTCTGACAATCCTAAAATCTTGTTTTTTTATTTGGAGAAAGCTGTTAATTTCAGTTGTTTCATGTGTTAGAAATACTATACATCTGTCTTCTTTTATTTCATACAAAAGCTCAACAAATCAAACCACTTTATGATCAGTATGTAAGATTGTAGTACAACACTACAATGCTCTTAAAACAGTATAATGTAGATAGACAAGAACAAGTAAATTTTCTAGGGACTAATATTACTGTATCATTTTTTTTTACTTACAAAAAGTATCATTCTGGATGGATGGTGGAAAAAACTGTCAAGAAAAATTTGATAAGATTATTTTTAACTTAAAGTTCAAACTAATTGTATTACAGATTTTCTAAGAATTCTAAATCAATTAAAAGGCTTATATTTATAAAATGTGAGTACCTTTCAAATTTTACTTTTCGTGATAATATTTCTTTGTTTCAGAAAGTCATGATAATATATCATTCACCTTCTAGCATGTCTTCTTTACAATAATAAGTAGCAATGTGGAATCTTACACTTTCAAGTTACACAAAACAAACTTTAGTCTCAATGACTACATTTATAGAATATTTTCATGGTTTTATATTAAAGAAGTTTTGTACATAAAGAAACAATAGTAACATTCTGCATTATTTCTCACTCAAGTTACACTCACTCTGATTGGAACAAAGTCCCACTAGTATGTTTCACCATAACTGCAAATAACACACTTTCTGTCATCTGACCTAGTAGTTCATAAATACCTCAAGTTTAAAGTAACAATTCTTAAAGAGGAGAACTGAGGCACTATAAAATTCTGTTTATGCATTTATAGTGATAATCTGTGTTTCAAGAATTAAAGTAATACTACTTAAATAACATTTATATGAATACTGAATCATCATATGACATCTTCAGGAAAACAACAAACTCTATACCTGATACCGATTATGCCCAAAAGAAATATGAAGTAATTACTCTCTGTCATAAAATGCTTGATTAATAAACATTTCCAATCTTGTCCAATGACTTTTAACAAAATGTTTTTCTTAAATTACTTTGACTTTAGCAAAAAAAATGAGCAAAACCTGAACTTTGTCACAATAATAAATAAAAAGTTGCTAAAAATAGCTTACAGTCTTTTTATAAAATTAATGAAAAACCTAAAATCAAAACGTAACTTTTCAATCCTTTAAATTGTTAAATCATATGACAAATAATATTTAACTTTCATCTTATTTCTATTACATTACGTTTAAAATAGACTCGCCAATTGTGGCAGTCTAGATGACAGACAGTTTTATTAAATAAGATAAAAAATTAGTGATTAGAAGCTAATATCTTAAAATAAAATCTTATGTAACAAAGAATTGCTAAGTCTCCTTACTTATGTTATTACTGTTATACTGTCTCAAACTCTTAATGTATTGGATATAACCTTCTCCTGTGAAGTGAAAAGTTGCAATACTACTGATTGGTTTGGATATTAAATTTTTTGTTTCTTTGTAATCATATATATATCTTCATTTTAACAGCAGTGATGTACTAATATTTTGATAAAACTACTTTTTCATATGCAAAAGCACATAACTCTTTAAAGAAAACTAGATAAGAAAGATTATATACTGTGAAATTCTGAAACTCAGCTACTATTAAGAGAATTGAAAAGTAAACCATTACTGCAAATACTATATATATATATATATTTGCTGCACCAATGCTTTATTAACAACTTTATTCAGAGTTACTCTTTAGCTTAAAATTCCATTCAGTTACAGTAAAACTTTTCTATGTTGTGCAGTAGGCTTAGTGAAACTTTAGTTTTGAAATATTGTAGAATGTTACAAACATACAGTTTAAAGATTAATTTAGAACTCTGTAAACAGATGAAGATTACCAAAGCATCTTGGAATATTTCTCTTTAGCTGACTACTTCCCACATTATGTTCTGACAAAAACAACAGCACTAAATGATTAAGGGTCTCAATGCTTACTAAGTTCTTATCACAAACTTTTTTGTCCACTGCTTACTATTTGCTTTTATTTGTTCAATAAAGAAAAAATATTACAAGTTATAAAAAATCAAATATTTTGTACTAAAACAAGGTAGTTGAAGTGACTGAAATTAAAAGCAGACAGCTCAAACCAAGTTGATTTCTACATACACTAATGTTAGTATCATTTATAATCCCTAGAAATCTAGAAAACTATCATAAAAAATAATTGTAATTTTTTAAATCTTTAAAATAAAAATATTTGAGCATCAAAACACAAATATACACATTTGGCATAAGAAATTACAAGCATATTTTGTTCTTTGGTGGGCAAGAAAAAAAACAACTTTAGGCTTAGCATAAACACAAGTTTTAATAGTGTTGGGGCTGCATTTAAGTTAGAAAATATATGAACCAATAACTAATGAAAAAGTCTAATTTTCACAACGGTTTAAGACTGAAGATACTGTACAATATTACTTCAATTTCTCATACAACAAGGATGAAAAGAGATCAACAAGATTAAGTGAAAGTAGAAAAAACAAAAGCTGTTGCCATGACAACTAAGTTACTGTTTTGCCGATTCTTCAGGATGTGCAGTAGCTGGGGGTGTGGGAAAAGAGACTGAAGCAAGACCAAGTATCAGACGAAGGCGAGGATGAAGTTTCAGTAGAAGTCAAAGGAGGGTTCCAAATGCTGTCCAAGGTTCGAAAGGGATCAAAATTACCAGTTGACAAGTTGGTAGCAGGTGCTGGGGTAATGGGAGTCTGAAAATATAATATTTCTCTCTCTAAACTCATAATTTCATCTTTCTTGGTGACTAAATTTTAGATCTATAGATCAAAAGATCTGCAGACTAAAAACTTTAATTGCAGATCTATAGACTAAAAACTATAGATCTATAGACCAAAAGATTTGTAAGCTAAATACTAATTGCAGATCTATAGACTAAAGGATTTATAACTAGAAACTTTAATTGTAGATCTATATACTAAAAGATCTGTAGACTACAAACTTTAATTGTAAATTTATAGAGCATAAGATTTGTAAACTAAATACTAATTGTACATCTACAGATCAAAAGATCTGTAGACTACAAACTTTAATTGTAGATCTATACACTAAAAGATCTGTAGACTAGAGACTTTAATTGTAAATCTATAGACCAAAAGATTTGTAAACTAAATACTAATTGCAGATCTGTAGACTAAACGATTTGTAGACTAGAAACTTTAATTGTAGATCTATAGATCAAAAGATTTGTAAACTAGATATTAATTGTAGATCTATAGATCAAAAGATCTGTACAGTGCAGACTTCAATTGTAGATCTATAGACTAGTCAAAACGACCCACTGCCAACTTAGTCTACTCTTTACCAAAAATAGTGGAATTGACTATCACATTATAATGCCCTCACAGCTGAAAGAGCAAGCATGGTCAATGACGGGATTCAAGCCCATGACCTGCAGATAGCAAGTCAATTGCCCTAACCACCAGACCATGTCAGAAAGGATCAGGAATTTTTGTACTACTTTCCTTGAGTGGTTAAATTTCCTTGGTTTGGAGGATTGCTTAAAAAAAAAGTCGGCTTCAATATTCAAGAAGAAATTCTAGTTAATATACCGAGTATTCCATTTTTGAATTCTCACCTCTGGTGGGTCAGATTTTTCAGTTGTCTTCTCATCTCCTTCAATGACACTCAGAGCAGCATTAACCAAGTCCAGTGGTGGATCAGAGGGTGATGTGTCAGTTGCTGTAGACCAAACACTAGATACAGAGTTCCAGTTATCGTCAACAAGGGAGCTCCATAAACAATTTGAGGTTTTGGGCTGTAAATCAACAGACAGCGAGATAGTTATATAAATCATCCATGCCAGAAATGAAAGAATAATACAAGAAACTTGGATATTACTTCCACAAAAATTCATAAATATATCTTCTGTCTGAAGAATGGTTCACGAGTTATAATTTAAGTTAAAAAGACAGAATGAAAATAAATAGTCTATATATTAGTATATTTCAAAACACACTCAAGGCAGTGTTCAAACATCGAATATTTTTATATTAAATCAAAGTTTGCCCCCCTCCCTAATATGTAGTATGCTTTCTGAAGTATACTAGTCAAAAATTTAAGTAAGCAGATGATTTATTTCATATTAAACAAGAAAAACGTTTTTTGGAAAAATCCACACATTCTTGAGTTATCAAAGAGAATTTATTAATCAAACTGTGCATGGGGTGAGCCCAGTGGACTAACCCGTGGAAACACCTTGCATAAGTTTGTAAGATCAACAAGCTTATGTCCACCGGGGCAAAAAACGTCCAGGAGAAGTGCCTTGGATATATATATTATGATAGCCAAGTGTGGTCAGCCCAGGCAAAGCATCCAGGGAAAGTACATTGGTATACCTCGGACTATGTCAAGTGCAGTCCATCATGGCAGAAAACATCCAGGGAAAACACCTTGTAAAAGATTGTTCGTTTTATATCTTGTTCGTAATTTAGTTAGCGATCAACATGCACGATCCGCCCAGGCAAAAACATCCATTCAAAAATGCCAGCAATTAAAATATTGTGGAAAATTGAGAAGTACATAAATTTTTTACGCTTTATTCAACTAAATTGTTATATATATATCAATATAACACGTTTTCAACTTTAGTATTTCTTTTAGTAATTAATTGTTGTTATAAGAACCCTTATGATCAAGCTTACTGAACACACTTATCTCCTAAAACATACCAATCAAGTTACCCTACAATCTAAGCATTAAAAAAGTTAAAAAAATATTCATCTTAACTTATCTCTTAAAACGTACCAATTAAGTTACCCTACAATCTAAGCATTAAAAAAGTTAAAACAAATATCCATCATAACTTACTGAACACACTTGTCTTTACAAAATACCAATTTCATACAACATTCTCTATGTTACCCTAAAATCTAAGCATTAAAAAAGTTAAAACAAATATCCATCATAACTTATCTCTTAAAACGTACCAATTAAGTTACCCTACAATCTAAGCATTAAAAAAGTTAAAAAAATATCCATCTTAACTTATCTCTTAAAACGTACCAATTAAGTTACCCTACAATCTAAGCATTAAAAAAGTTA